TCAAATAAACTTGGTTCTAAGTAGCCTTAATTGGGATGTAATACAAAACCATCAAATAAACTTGTTTCTAAGTAGACTTAATTGGGATGTAATACACAACCATCTAATAAACTTGGTTCTAAGTAGACTTAATTGCGATGTAATACACAACCATCTAATAAACTTGTTTCTAAGTAGACTTAATTGGGATCTAATACAAGACCACCGAATAAACTTGGTTCTAAGTAGACTTAATTGGGATGTAATACAAAACCATCAAATAAACTTGGTTCTAAGTAGCCTTAATTGGGATATAATACAAAACCATCAAATAAACTTGTTTCTAAGTACACTTAATTGGGATGTAATACAAAACCATCAAATAAACTTGTTTCTAAGTAGACTTAATTGGGATATAATACACAACCATCTAATAAACTTGTTTCTAAGTAGACTTAATTGGGATCTAATACAAGACCACCGAATAAACTTGGTTCTAAGTAGACTTAATTGGGATGTAATACAAAACCATCGAATAAACTTGTTTCTAAGTAGACTTGATTGGGATGTAATACAAAACCATCAAATAAACTTGGTTCTAAGTAGACTTAATTGGGATGTAATACACAACCATCGAATAAACTTGTTTCTAAGTAGACTTAATTGGGATATAATACAAAACCATCAAATAAACTTGTTTCTAAGTAGACTTAATTGGGATGTAATACAAAACCATCAAATAAACTTGTTTCTAAGTAGACTTAATTGGGATGTAATACAAAACCATTAAATAAACTTGGTTCTAAGTAGACTTAATTGGGATGTAATACACAACCATCGAATAAACTTGTTTCTAAGTAGACTTAATTGGGATATAATACAAAACCATCAAATAAACTTGTTTCTAAGTAGACTTAATTGGGATGTAATACAAAACCATCAAATAAACTTGTTTCTAAGTAGACTTGATTGGGATGTAATACAAAACCATCAAATAAACTTGGTTCTAAGTAGACTTAATTGGGATGTAATACACAACCATCGAATAAACTTGTTTCTAAGTAGACTTAATTGGGATATAATACAAAATTAACAAAGAGCTTCTTGAGGAGCACGATGACACAGGAGAGACTGAATGACCTAGCCGTCCTTAGTATTCAGAGCGAACTTGCGGGAAGAATTGACTTCAGTAAAATAATAAAAACACTTGCTTTAAAAAAAGGCACGAAAAGCATGTTTCATTTAGTTATCACAATTCTGTATTACTGAACTCGTTAAAGTAATTCTTGACAATGTGTTTGTTCAAGGCCTTTGTCCACAGAAAATTTCACAAAGAAAATCGGCACCTCTTGGTCTCCCATCAGGGGCTCAGCTCTTGAATCCCATTGGGGGCCCGCCGCCGCTCTCGACGGCCCTGGTGATGCCAAACTCCAGCCTTGGTGTCTTATACTAAGTTATAGTTATACGAAATAAAATAGGCAGGGTTTCTGTATATTGGACAAAATTTTTACAAATAAATAAGAGAACGTGCAAAGAGAAAAGTAAAAGAAAATTCACAAACTCACCCTTTATCAGTGATGTTAAGAATCAGATTCAAGAAATAATAACTGCTAATACTTATTTGCTAGGCCTCGGCAAAAACCTATGTTTTTGTATTTCAAGCGCGCGTGTTCAATGAATGAGGGGTGGTTTCGTTAAGGATTTATATTTATTTATATTGGAGAATGTGTCGGTACAGTAGAATAATAATATTTTCTAAAACAAAGAACAACCTTAAAAATTGAGATTAACAAATAAAGCAAACATAAAATAGACAAACAATATGATTAACAAATAAAATAAACATAAAGTAGACAAACAATATGATTAACAAATAAAACAAACATAAAATATATAAAGAAATATTACTTATAAATAAAACAAACATAGAGTAGACAAACAATATGATTAACAAATAAAATAAACATAAAGTAGACAAACAATATGATTAACAAATAAAACAAACATAAAGTAGACAAACAATATGATTAACAAATAAAACAAACATAAAGTAGACAAACCCAATATGATTAACAAATAAAACAAACATAAAGTAGACAAACAATATGATTAACAAATAAACAAACATAAAATAGACAAACAATATGATTAACAAATAAAGCAAACATAAATTAGACAAACAATATGATTTACAAATGCTAAGAAAACTGAAGGTTCAAAGCCGTCCCTAATTTAGCAGTCTAAGACTAGAGGGAAAGCAGCTAGTCATAACCACCCACCGCCAACTCTTGAACAACTCTTTCACCAACGAATAGTGGGATTGACCATAACATAATGACGCCCCCACGGCTGAAAGGGCGAGCATGTTTGGTGGGACGGGCATTCGAACCCGTGACTCGTAGATTGCGAGTCGACCTCTCTGGCCATGCCGGCCCTACCAGCAGAGACCCACAAAACATTTGCGGTCAAATTATTATCGCAACATTACTTCTTTAAATACAGGATTTCTAGAATAATACAAAATAATTCTAATCACAGACACCGAGGTCTGCAAGACCACTTGTCTTAGGCCTAACATTAGTTAAGCCTTTATTAAGTAAGGGATATAACTGATATAGAGAAAAAATAACACTGTAACTTGTGTACGTTTTTTGTTTCAGTTTAGTTAGGGCTAAATTTTATCGTATTTAATACTGTTACGTCTCCGTTTGTTAACTGATTTTCCGTAACTTCGTTCCGACGAAACTTTAGCGACACAAGTCCTTACTTAATAAAACTGGTTTATTCTTTGCGAATACAACTTTAC